GGTTTATCCACATATATGCATACGATGTTCTTTTTTAAAATACATATTTGCCCATTTTCACGCGGCCACTCTTTATGTCCAGTGTTTATTTGTAATAAAAATAGGTAAAAAAACTTTTTAAGTTAAACGGTTTTATGTTAAACATACATTGCAATGTTTAAGATAAATGTACTAAAAACCAAAAAATAATAAAATAGATACAGTCGTGGGAATTATAAACATATGCATAGACTAGACTATAATAAAACCGTGGGGCACGTCAATTGTCTACAATCGTTGATTAAAATGTTTGTTTTGTAATGTTACACTATAATTAGGCAGTTCTTCAACCGACAACGATGGACGTGTGATAAGTAGGGCTAGAATGTGGAAACAAGCTAGCAAGCTCGATTATAAGCGAGTTTTAGGGTTTCATAGTGGTGAGCGAGTAGTACTTTTATCATATCGATGGCTGAGTGGAAGATCGACCTATCTCGGTAGCCAGTTCGAAAAGGCCCTATCTCAGAAAATTTTTCAACAACGCTTTATCTCAGAAAACTTTTCAAGAACGCCCTACTTCAGAATTTTATTGGAAAACACCCTACCTGAGAACTGGGTTGAATAGCGCTCTATCTCAGCTGCCGATCCAAAAACGCCCTATCTCAGCTTATTTTCAATGTATTTTCGTTTGAGATAGGGCGTTTTTGAACCGAGTTCTGAGATAGGGCGTTCTTCAACAAAATTCTGAGATAGAGTGTTTTTCAATAAAATTCTGAAATAGATTGTTTTTCAATAAAATTCTGAAGTAGGGCGTTCTTGAAAAGTTTTCTGAGATAAGGCGTTTTCGAACTGGCTTCCGAGATAGGTCGATCTTCCACTCAGCCATCGATATGTTTTGTCGATTAAAGACAAACTACGAGCAGTGAAACGACTCCTCGCCAGCCAGCAGTGTGAATGTCCAACGATAAACTAGTTGAAACATCTCTTTTATTTACATGGAGTGTATAACTATTGGAATTTCCATGAGCAAGAAAATAGTAAGTAATTTCCTCACCGTCTGCGGGCCAACTGCCTAACGACGAATTAAACGATTCTTCTATCGCACATTAAGTCGATAATTTGTAGACAATTGACGTGCCCCACGGTTTTATTTTAGTCTAGTCTATGCATATGTTTATAATTCCCACGACTGTATCTATTTTATAATTTTTTGGTTTTTAGTACATTTATCTTAAACATTGCAATGTATGTTTAACATAAAACCGTTTAACTTAAAGTTTTTTTACCTATTTTTATTTTCTAGTTTTTAGTTTTATATATAATATAAAAAATTGTTATCAGCCATTTGGTAGCGGCGGCCATCTTAGATTTCAATTTTGCATAGTAAATTGTATTCTACTTGTTGAGACCTTTCATTTGATACCCATGTTGATGGGATTGATAAAACCTACGTTATCCGCCATTTTGTAGCGGCCGCCATCTTGGATTTCAATTTTTTATAGTATATTGTATTCTGCTTGTTGAGCCCTTTCATTTGATACCCATATTGATGGGATTAATAAAAAAAACATAAATTATCCGCCATTTTGTAGCGGCGGCCATCTTGAATTTATAATGATAATGAATAAACATAATTGTATTGTCACCAAAATCCAAATTGTATACAAAATTTCAGATTAATCGGTTGACAGGAAGAGGGTGAAATTTGAATTACTAAATTTGACCCAAGAATAAAACAAACGGGATGAGCTAAATAAAACCGTTTAAAAAACGATATTTTCATTCCCAATACCAGGCGTTCATACATGTGAAGTAACAAATTTTCTATTTCTACGTACAAAATTGTTTGTATAAATTTTTAAATTTCCAAAATTCTACTTTGTAAAGTTCAAAGGCTTCTATATAAAATAAAAAATAAATTGAAAAGTTTGAGAATGACGTATATTCCCTACCAGTAGAGAAATAATCGGTAGAGAAGAGTTACAGAAACAAGCTACTGACCTAGTTATTCTCGGACTAAATCTATTAAAACTGTCTTAAAAACAAACGGGATTTCTATTAAAATATGGTAAAAAAATTTAAAGTTCGGACAGCGTTTTGGACAGAATTTTTTAATATAACTTTTTTGCGTGAGTCTGGACTTTATTTATTCTCCCGCTGATTTTTTAAAAAGTTAAAAATTACTATGTTTTCTTTTAATTTTTTACTTCTTCATCGCTTTGCTACACACATATGTAGGTTAAAATTATTGTACATTTTATAACATACTATTTGCAAAAAAACTTGGGTTCTTTTTAGGCAAAAACTTCATGCCACCAACGTAAAAGTCTTCAAAAAAAAATTTAATAAAAAAATCAATGCTAAAATATCGACCCCTGATTGCGATTTTATCGTAAACGACAAAAGGTAAAATTTTCAATTCTCCCTTAAACAGTATACAAATTTATTTGGATTTAAATGGACAACAACATTATTAAATGCTAGCTTTCTTATGGGACAATTTTTTTTTGCATACCCTATTATCTAAAGGAAAAATGGCGTTAGGATATTTTCCTTGAACATGCTGAGAGGAAAGCTATCAAAGAATTTGCGTTTGCGATAGTTTTTATGTTGTATGTTATGAATAATCTGGACGTTTATAAACGAACAAAAATAGTTTTTTGTATATTCATTTTTATTTCAACATAGAAGAAAAATACTTATAAAAATAAAATATTTCACACAAACAGGGTTAAAATTTTTAAATTCGTGACCGTATTTTGATTGTAAGTGGGATTGTGCTACAATGATAGCACAGCCGAATCATAGTCAACTCATGTACAATAGTCGAAAAAATTATAGCCGCACCAAATTTTGACAAGTTTTAAAATATTATTTTTGATTTTATTTAGTTTTGGTTAGTCTTTTATAGTTCATTCTTTAACAACATCCGTGTAAATACAAGTTTAAAGGCAGTGTTACACGATTGGGTATTTGCCGAAATTTGGTGCAAATCGTATCCCATTTGTGTAAATACCCAAATATTTTTCTTTATCCCAATCACGAAAAATGATTCGCTGAAATTTTTCAAAAGAAGATTGCTGTATTGTACCAATCTTTTAACTACAAAAAAAACTTTGTCCCAATTTTTTTCTTTTGCCAATAGTCCAATACCAAAAGGTACGAATCTGTACAAAAGTACCAATCGAGTAACACTGCCTTAAAAATGTATGCAATTAAAAAAAAAACACACATCTTCGTAAAAATTTCGAGTTTTTGATTAGATTTTAAGTATGCAGTTTTGTAGCCCATTGAATTCTAGTAGAATAAAGTACAAGTTTCAAATGGCTAAAAATTACGGTTGATTTTTTGGAATTTTTAAAATAACTCGAAATTTGTACGAAAGTTTGTTGAATTTTTTTTTAATATTGCACAAAGTTGGAAACTTGGATTTACACGGGTTTTGTTAAAGAATGAACTATATTTTTATAAAAAAGAACATTTACAACCAAAAGTGTAAGAAAAACAAACGATAAAATTCATTTAGCTTTTTTCCAGTAACGGTAAATATTCAAAGTCTGTGATTTTGTATTTGTAACCTATTTGCAACAAAAAATTTTTTCCGATAGTTTGTCGCTTACGATAAAATCGCAATTAGGGATCTATATAAAATTGAGATTTTTAAAAATTTGTTGTATAGAAAAAATACCAGTTTTCTTCTGCTTCGAAATAGATACTAAGCAAGTATTTTTGCACTAAATAGCAGGGTATTAGTTATATTTTATTTTTCGATATAAATAACTCCCTACGTAAAACTCATTTTATAAAAGGAATTAAGAATATATGTACAAATTTTTCTCCTTTTTTACCAATTGTGAGTACAGAAATTACCACAAATTCTTGTCGTTTTCAGCACAAGTACACATTTGCTGCAACTCAAAATGCAAGTAGGCAATTCCATAACTATCTTTTTGTAGTATAAATTCATCTGTTGTTCAATCAATCTTACACGCAAACTCCACCTTCCATTCGTAGCACCTTAACATCTGTCATTTTCGTGTCTTAACTTTGTTTTGATTTCCAATGTAGGCACATGCTGTCTTAACATTTTAATTTTTAGCATGTATGTAAATGTATGAGCTTTTAAATAATTTATTTTTGAATTACTTGTTATTTATGAAGGCCGCCACTCTATTTTCATTTATTAATGATGTTTCCTCAAATAAATGCCGCTCGAAAATAAATATTAAGTTGCCAAACGTTCAAATGACATTTGATGTTAAGACACCAAGTCATAACATGTGTGTCTTAACATGAGAAATTAGCGGTCTCCACATAACATTCATGTCTTAACATTCATGCTTTAACACGAGAGATGACAGGTGGAGACTGCAAGTTAAGTATGGTTCCTTTTATAGGTATTGAAAGTAGTGTTAGTTAAGCTTCTCTAGGGAAGTTACGTTGATGGCATGACATGTTTGCTTAAGTGTTCTTACACGATATGTAATTTCATCTGTAAATGTGACTGTTTCGATACACATGTAATTGCATCTGTCTGTCAAATTTACAGTATTTAATTAATTATTTAAAATTACGTTCTTTGAAATCGAAATAAACCAAACACAAAAATTCTATCTGTATATCAGATGAAAATAGAAACATTTCTATTTCGTATGTGCATTAGACCGTTCGTTAAAAATAAAATTTGGTTTACCGGGCGGAAAAAGATGTGTTTTGGTCTAAAAATAAGCTGTGCAAAATTTTATTCGAATATGATAACTCTAAGTACTTGCGCGTTGCATTTGAAAATTTAGAAAACCATATGCATTCTGGGAAAAAAAATTCCAACAAAATAGTTGAAAGTCGCGAATTTTATAGTCATTTGCTACGTAAAATAACTTACACAATCTGAATATGAGGTCAAAAATTAAAAAAGTAGAATAGGTTTTAAGAATTTGCGAAATTATCGTTTTTTTTCAAATTGAGAAAACAGCATTTTCAATTTTTTCCAAAAATATCCGGTTGTGATTATCACACCACAAAA